GATGTGAGATATGCTGGTCTCCTTACGATGTTTTCCTTTATGTGTTAGATGCGCACATAGACAGATAGTCCATTGGTGCACGGGGAAGCTAACACTGCTGTTTTAATAATAATAATTTTATTATTTTATTTTGTCTTTAATTTAAAGTAATCTTTATATTTGTTTCTTGATAATTAAATTTTTTCTCAACAACTATATGTAATAAGATGTATTTTTGCACTTCTTGCCTACCTTATGTAATTTTTTTTTTTCTGCGGTTATTTGCAATCAGCCCCAAGGCTATGAGCGAATTTTTTCTGTGGTGCTGTCATGTGGAGTGACTTCCCATTGGAAGCATCTACTCATCTTCTGTCTAGAGCTACTGCCGGTCTTCTAGCCCTAGAATATGGTGACGTTTTAGTCGACTCACATACTGTCTAATGGTGAGTTGGCGAGCAAGTTCATTCGGGTGACAGCTTAACCGCTCTTTGTATTTAGCTGCCAGTCTCCGGATTTCCTCTTTGATAGTTCTCATTTTAAGGTGTTCGTGAACTTTGTTGTTGGTTATGTACCATGGTACTTTTGCAACTGCTCTTAGGATCTTGTTCTGTTGTCGCTGGAGTATATTTATGTTGGTATCACTTGCGCTGCCCCACAGTTGGAGGCCATATGTCCAAATGGGCTTTAGGATGACTTTATATATAAGAAGTTTGTTATCTAGAGAAAGTCTTGAGTTTCTTCCTAGCATCCAGTAAAGGCTGTTGTACTTTAGCTGTAGCTCCTGCTTTTTACATTTGATGTGGTGTAGACCTTATGTAATTTAATAATTTTTTTTTTCTTCTCACAGTGGTTGCCTGGAAGAGATCGCTCGAAAGCGATAAGGCCGCCAGTTGCTCTCCTTTTTATTTAATTATGTCAATTGTACTATATTTATGTATATGCAACGAAGTGTTAATAAATAAATAAATAAATCATAAATGAATGGACCCTTGGCAAATGTTTATCTTTATATATAGGTATGTACGTATATATTCTGTGCGTGTGTTTGTAATAAAAATCATAAACGATTGGATCGAAATTGATTTAATTATTTGTGTATACTGTATTAGGTGGATCAGAGAATGGATTTAATTACATTCTTTTTTTGCAAAAATTTTTTAGGTCTATGTACAAGATGTATGTCGCGTCCGCTAATAACAACATAAATCTTGCTCATATCAAGATATGTTATACTCGTAGTACTATAAATTATTTATTTGTTAATTGCATTTCCGGACAAATTTCACGAATTTTTCTACCTATAAAAACTGGACCTTGGTATATAAATAAGGCTACAATTTACGCAAGCGAAGTCACAAAAATACAATAACAACACATTAGTCTTGTTACTATCATTAAACTCTTAAATTTTATCAATTTTTAAACTGTTGTATTATCTGTATAATTTAAGTTATTTTTAATAAATAAATAATTTATGGTTTAACACGTAATACAAATCTTGTTGGAACATTTTTTAATAAAAAAAGTGCGTGCGTACAAAGTACACATGTCAGAAGTGCAACTTCTTTGACAAACTAATTTTTGAGTTTTGTTCAAATCTAAATCTAAATTTAGATTTCCGAGATTTAGAGGGAGGGGAAAAGGAAGATAATATGTTAGGAATTCAATGAATTTAATTGTCATTAAAAAATTAAAAGTGTCGAAAGTTAATAAAAAATAAATTTTTTTTAAATTATTTCTTCGATAATAAAAATGCGTGGCATTTTATCTCTCAATGTCAGAGGGTTCGCGAGTGCGTTGCTGGTCTTTTAAGAATCGGTACGTTCTTCTCTTGAGTCCCTAAGTCGAATTGGTGTGGAAATACTTCAATGAGTAGCTGGTTCCATATTGTGGTACGCTCAGTTGTGGATCGAATAAAACATTTTGCGTGTTTAATTTTAATTTATTATTTTTTTTTTTTTTTTTTATTAAAAAAAAATAAAAAAAAAAAAAAAAAATTTTTTTTTTTTTTTTTTTTAAAAAAAAAAAAAATATAAAAAAATTTTTAATTTTATAATTTTTTAAAATTTAATTTTTATTTTTTATTTAAATTTAAATTTAAAAAAAAAAAAAAAAAAAATTTTTAAAAAATTTTTTTTTTTTTATTTTTTAAAAATTTTTTTTAAAAAAAATTTTTTTAAATTATAATAAATAAAATTTTAAAAATTATTTTTATAAAAATATTTTTTTTTTTTTTTTTTTTTTTTTTTTTTTTAAAAAAAAAAAAAAAAAAAAAAAATAATTAAAAATTAAAATTAAAATTAATTAAAAATAAAAAAAAAAAAAAAAAAAAAAAAAAAATAATTTTTTTTTTAATTAAAATTAAATAAAAAAAAAAAAAAAAAAAAAAAAAAAATTTCGGTTTCACTTCGATAGATTACAATCTACCGAATAATAATACGTTAAATTGTAAGCAGTTCGTTGAGGTTCACAATATTTCGACAGTTTACAATCTCGCGAGATAGATAACAATCTAACGGTGTTTACAATTTTACGGTGACATATACATGCTCCATTAACTATGGCTCCTCAAACATTGGTACTATATCCTACGTAAATAGTCAGTATCTAGTTTAGCCAATCGGACCGTAAAACTTTCTATAGGAAGGCATTTATTTTCAACTATCCAAATATATTGCGTTGGAACATTTTGTTTATACATTTTAAATACCTTGTCCTTACATATACGGATATTTGTAAAACTTGTATTCTTAAATATCCGATTTCATATTACCGTAATTATTCTGTGACGTAGCATGAACTTGACATCTAAAGTTTTAACAAAAACGGTTATTACCTGCAATTTTACGCAGTCGAAGTGTACAGTAAAATAGTCGGTAATTTTTTTTTTTTTTAAATTCATCTCTCTGTGGATGATAATTTACTTACTATAAATCTCAGGTTTGCTTCAGATCGATTATTTTTCTTTCCTAATAATTTGACACGAGCATAATTTTAATTTAACATGTATTTAATCTAGGAGATTGTAGTATGAATGAATAGGAGTATGAATTAGATGGCGTCCTCCAAACGCATCAGTGAAGGTTACCCGTGCTTAGAGTAATAAAGTGAATTACGAAACGGTGGCCTACTATACGCAGGTACGGAGTTATGGTATTTAGGTCTGTTAAATTTAAAAAAATTACACCTTGTCTAAAATATATATATATAAAATATTGACTCTATTACTTTTGCAATACGTGCGGTAATTGAGTCATACATTACGTTACAATATTTTAGTCAAATGTAGTTTGACAAACTAAATTTAATTTAAATTTTTAGTTATTATTCCAAGATTTTGATAGATGACCATTTTTTTGAAAAGACGTGAAGACTTTCAAAATATAAAATGCAAATGCATGCAAAAACAGAGGTAAAAATTTTAATATCTAAAAGTGCGCTAAAGGTATGTCGGAATTCATAATATTTTTGCGTGTTTGTTTTCTCGAACCAGGGTTGCCCGTGCTATATTTAACCAGATAATTAGTATCGCAATTTATTCGATTGTTTACGATACACTTGTTTAATCAAAAATCAATATTGGCTCAAGGGTAAAACAAAATGTTTATCCAATTTGGAAACGCATTTTATCAGTGAATTGTTCAGCAGTATACTTACGAAATGAACAAATTCTATAAAATTATTATGTTATTAATAGTTAATATACGTAGTATATATGTATAATACGTATATATAATTATATACGTATTAGTCTCAAGATTTTACGTCAAAACACGTATTTTATAACCAAATTCTACTTATCATATACGACCTTTGCTTTTTTATTTTCCGGAAACTTAATGGAACTTTTTTTTTATAAAATAATTGTAAGCACGCCTTTTAAGCACAAGGGTTAAAAAATAAATGTGATCGGGCACATGTTGACAGATGATGTAAAAAATATTTCAATTAAAAAATTATAAGATTAAATAATAACTTTTTCGTTTAAGAAAATAAATGCTATTTAAAGGTTTAAAAATGTAGTAAATTACTTAATCGCATTTTGACAACTGAAGGCCCTTTTTGACTCAGAAAACTGAATTTTTTATATAAGCGTCACGAAAATCTACTAAATTAACTTATTGGGGAAGGTCTGCATTGAGAAATTGTCTGTTCATATTATACCCTAACAGTCTTACTAATAAAAAATCACTATCTAGCGTTATAAGAACGTCTGAGTTGGCGTTGGTCCTTCTGGCGAATTCTCGGTGTCATCATACGTAAAATCCAGGTCTTCTTTCATATCATAAATTGGGGAGGATTGCTAGTGCTACTATATATAATTTGGCTTTTCTAATGACACTGAGAAGCCACGAAGAAAACACCTAAATCAATGCTTACAAACACCAGCCCTGCGATTCTGTAACTCACTTTTCGAACTCACACAGCGGTTTTCGCATCGGCGGTCGCTCTCAAATCAGTCGTGAAGCAGTCATTTTATGATTTGGCATTCTGAATAGGTGGGAGCTTGTAGTTTATTGATTATTAGAATTCCAAATCATAAAATGACTGCTTCACGACTGATTTGAGAGCGACCGCCGATGCGAAAACCGCTGTGTGAGTTCGAAAAGTGAGTTACAGAATCGCAGGGTAGAACACCGTTCATTTCATGTTCTTATATGGGAACTATTGTATAAAACGGATTTAAAATTGGTGTTAATAAATATGGAGACAATGCCTGAATCGTCAAGCAGCCGTCCTTGGAACTCTCTATTCTTTGTCTGAGTTGACTTTCTCTTATTTTTCATTTTTGTCTTATACACCCGTTACACTAGGCCTCTGCGTTGTTTAAGCATTGTACAAGTCTTCCTTCAAACAAAACACTTGTTAAAAGCCTATTCAGGAATTATAAGTAAAATTTTTCTTATAACAGGCTTATACGATGTGCATAAATCTTTATTAGTAAGACTGATATTGTAAAATATATTTATTTAAACCAACTTTATATAAACAAGAATTTCATTTATTTTTATTTTACAGACATGGGTTCCCTGCCGCGTGTCTCAGTGGTGAGCGGGGCTCGAACAGCTGTTCCAGCAGCGCCGTTGGTCACACACTTGCAACTTCTGCGCATGCATGACAGAACTGCGCTAATTTATTCAGGTTATATTCTAATATTTGTAAGTCAGTCATATTTGTATTTCGTTATGAGACGGTTAGTCTGACGGTGCAAACGCGCACAAGAAGTCAGTGCTGGATGGTCTTTACGTGGGTCTCAGCGGCCATGCTGTGCAGTCAGTCATTGTTATATATTGAGCAGGTATATCAGGTCACTTGTTATTCTTATTTAGGTACCATGTACAATATGTGCCTCAAAATTCCGTATTGGACAATCCCACACAATATATGGGACACCTGAGATTAATGCACCTGAGATTGAACTCCCCCGTCGCTGTGGGTACCGTACACATCGGCTCTCGTGTAAAAATAAGATTGAAAATAGAAATACTGCTAATATTGCTAGTATGTTGTTTTAGGTGAATTAAGCAAGGCAAATAAGGGTAAAGATGTGAGAGAGAAGACCCTAAATTTGGGGTGCGGGGGGAGGGGGAGGGGGTGGGAGGGGGGTAGTAATCACCCCCCACAAATTTTGGGCTTAGGAAACCAAAAAAAAAAAAATTTTTTTTTTTTACAGTACTTAATCTGAAAATGATCGCAAGAAATCAGTGTCTAGTATATATGTAAAGCCAAGTTTTAAAAAATTATAATAAAATAACGCACATTCACGTAAAAAGTAACACAGGTTATTTTAAAAAAATATTAATATACTAACCTAAGATGTCCACTATTTTTAGACGCCATTCGCACACGAAATTTGAAAATGATCGCAAGAAATCAGTGTCTGTACTAGACATATATTACAGACAGTATATAAAGCCAAGTTTTAAAAAAATGCTAATAAAATAACGCACATTCACGCAAAAAATAAAAAACCTAAAAAAGTAACGGCTTTTTTAACTTATAATTTGCACTTGATCACTGTGAACACACACTGTTCTGGCAAAATCCAAATTCGAAATGGCCGATTGCGTTTATACTTTAAACAATGAATAGTAGAGAATAGAGATGTGAAAAATAATCTATTCTGTGAAAGTGAAAAAATCGATTATTTTAGTATTCGATTTTAATCCGATTTTAAATCCGATTTTGTTTTCGATTTTGAGTTTCAGTTGAACAGTTATTTAAAAAAATATTAATATACGGTTAGTATATTAATATTTATATAACCTAACCAATCTAAATAATATTTATTTTTGTGGACAGCTCCGATCTAAATAGTAATTGTTTATTCAAGCCTCGGCTTCTCGGCGTCCTGGTCGCCTTCGGCGACCAAATATTCATATACTAACTCTAACCTAACCAATCTAAATAATATTTTTTTTGTGGACAGCTCCGATCTAAATAGTAATTGTTTATTCAAGCCTCGGCTTCTCGGCGTCCTGGTCGCCTTCGGCGACCAAATATTCATATACTAACTCTAACCTAACCAATCTAAATAATATTTGTTTTTGTGGACAGCTCCGATCTAAATAGTAATTGTTTATTCAAGCCTCGGCTTTTCGGCGTCCTGGTCGCCTTCGGCGACCAAATATTCATATACTAACTCTAACCTAACCAATCTAAATAATATTTGTTTTTGTGGACAGCTCCGATCTAAATAGTAATTGTTTATTCAAGCCTCGGCTTCTCGGCGTCCGGTCGCCTTCGGCGACCAAATATTCATATACTAACTCTAACCTAACCAATCTAAATAATATTTGTTTTTGTGGACAGCTCCGATCTAAATAGTAATTGTTTATTCAAGCCTCGGCTTCTCGGCGTCCTGGTCGCCTTCGGCGACCAAATATTCATATACTAACTCTAACCTAACCAATCTAAATAATATTTGTTTTTGTGGACAGCTCCGGCGCTACGGGAAATGCAGCCCCTCCACCCTTGCGTACCAAAGCACAGGCATTTTATTCAAGCCTCCGCAACCTCGGCTTTTTGGTCGCCTCTGGCGACCAGCCTCAGCCGCTACAGCTTTCATAATGCCTGTGCTTTGTTACAGCGGGTGGGGGCTGCTCTTCCTCCGCGCCTCCGATTATTTATATACACTCTAGGGGTAAGGCAGACAAGACCACGTGGATAGTGGGGTGCTCTGATTCGGTTTTGGGTACTATTTGAATAATTTAATAATTTTCGGAACCATACATTAATTAAAACATGAAGTTAATGTAATGTATGTACATTTGACAAGTAATGCTTAAATTAGGTTCAACTATAAAATTAACAAATGAGAAAATAATCGATTCGATTAGGTTCAACTTTAAAAATAACAAATGAGAAAATAATCGATCCAATTAATTTACCGAAAATGTCACATCACTTATAACCAATAGAAAACGACAATGACACATCACTTATAACCAATAGAAATCGAGAAAGTCACATCTCTTATAACCAATAGAAAAGTAGTTAGATAATGGCGGATTGTTTATAATTTCAATACAATTGACAAAAGTTAAAAAAAATTTTTTTAAATACTTTGACGCTTATCCTAAAGCTAAAATCACTTGGAGGTGTTCCAATCAAGGGTCCCCGAGACTCCTGCATAATCAGTATCATCAAATTCCAACGCATGGATATCAACCCCAACCCAGCGCTCTGGTGCAGTGGTCAATCAACAATACGCCAAATGGAAAAATACGCAAGTGAATCATAACATTAACATTTGCATTTGCATTTGATAGTTTTTGGATTAATTTTAATAATCATATCCATAGATTCAGTGAAACAGTGTCGAGTTTTTGTTCAACGTGGTGACGCGTTGTGCGTTTGCACTCCGCTATTTGTCTGGAATATATACTATTATTTTGGCTAAGTACTCAACTATCCGATCGGCTCAGTGTAGCAGAACGCTGCCAAGACATCGTCATATAGTTTGTGACGTGGTTCCAATCCAGGCAACTCACTTGTTTTTTTGTTTTTTCTTTTTATTAAAAGTTGCTATGGCGCCTTCAAATTGTTGTGCTAGCTGTCATACTGAGCTACCAAAGAAGGATTTTTTTATGCTGTCATATCTGCAAGTTAAAATACGACCTAGTATGTGCTAATGTCTCCCGCAAGCGCTTTGTTGAGATGGTCGCAAGACAAAAGGCGTCATTTAGATGTCCCGAATGCTCTAGGAAACCGACTAATGTTAGCAATGCAAAGACGTCATTGCTGACTTGTGAAAATTCCGATGGAAGCCCTCTTAGTATGAGCTCACAAGAAGCAAGTCCGGAGAGTGAACCTCCGTGCTCTGATAAAGTAACGCAGCGAATTAAGCCGTCACACGGACCCCCTTCACAACTACCAGAACCAGAACTAGAATCATATGTCACTGAAGATAAATTGCGAGATATCTTACAACAGGAATTATCTTCAGTCCTCACTGTGACAATTAAGCGATTGGTGACATCGGAACTTAATAATCTCACTGAAAAGGTTGCTGGATTCCAGGACACAATCTGCTTCCTGAGCCGACAATATGAGGATATAAAGTCTTCTCTTGAGGAGAAGGACATCGCAATAGTGAATTTAAAAAAAGATAATGACAGGTTAAAGTCTAATGTGGCTGACTTAACGAATCGGCTAACTTCTGTTGAACTACATGCCCGGGAGAATAATATACTGATTAATGGGATCCCTGAGAATAGGTCAGAAAATTTATTTGAAACTGTCCTTCGTATAGCCAAGACTGTGGACTGTCCCCTCACTCAAGTTGATATTCAGCACGTAACAAGGGTTGCTAAAATAACTAATAGCAGTGATAGGCCTCGGTCCGTGGTGGCTAAGTTATGTAGCCCGCGTACACGTGACTTTGTTCTGGCTGCTGTGAGCAAATTTAATGGGAAGAATCCACAAGATAAATTGAACTCTCATCATCTTGGTATTGGAGGAACTAAGAAACCTATTTTTGTATCTGAACATCTAACATCAGTTAACAATGCTCTTTACGCGGCCACACGCTTAAAAGCAAAAGAGAAGCAGTATAAATTTGTATGGGTTCGCAACGGACGAGTTTTTACAAGAAAGAACGAAAACTGCCAAGCCTTGCTTATTAAGAATAACGAAACCTTAAATCTTTTAACATAGTATAGCATAGTATATTAGATTGTAAGCTTTTTGTATCTTTAGCCTAGTAACACACTGATTTTTTACAATGCTTGAAATTTATTATCAAAACGTACAAGGGTTGAGAACTAAAACGGCAAGCTTTCTCAAATATTTGTCAACTTCTAATTATGGGATCATCGCTCTTACTGAAACTTGGCTGAAATCTGGTATTTCAAACATGGAATTATTTGACAATAGATACACTGTTTATCGTAGAGATCGTTCAAGTTCTACCAATACCAAATCGGATGGTGGAGGTGTCATATTGGGAGTCTCCAAAGAAATTTCTTCTTTCAGAGTTGAGGCATGGGAATCGGATGTGGAGGACTTATGGGTCACCTTACATATAAATATTAATAAAATAATAAAGAAACTTTCGATATGTGTAGTATACCTACCTCCTCCTGTAAAGATTGGGACTTTGACACATTTTTTAGACAGCGTTGACAGAGCTTTAAACTTAAGCGATGACGTCATTATTCTAGGTGATTTCAATCTAGGGTTCATTGATTGGAGATCGTTAAATAATGAAGTTTTTATGACACCTTGTAATTATAACAATACACTTGGCTTTGCCTTGATTGATTTTATGTCTATGAATAGCCTAAAGCAATTTAATAGTATAGGTAATAGCGATGATCGTTTCTTAGATTTAGTATTAAGTAATATGTCTAGTATTAATGTATCAGCCCCCTCCGACTCGTTAAGTAAAATATACGCGAATCATCCTAGTTTATTGTTAAGTTTTGAATATTCTAAAATATCCTTTTTGCGAACGAGATGTAACACTAAACTAAATTTTTATAAAGCTGACTATGTGTCTATAATAGGGGATCTGAAAACCATTGATTGGAATGATAGCCTACGCGCCCATGATGATGTTAATGATATGGTATCTAAGTTCTACAAAATTCTTAACACCACTTTGCAAGTTTGTACCTAATACGACCATCACGAAATCTAAGTATCCGGTGTGGTTCAGTTCTTCCTTAATAAAATTACTTGCTGAAAAAGAAAAAACACGTAAGAGGTATCGAATATACAAGAATCCTCGAGACGAAATAGAGTATCACATTATTAGAAAACGTTGTCACAAACTTTATGATGATTGCTACACTAAATATAAGCGAAATATTGAGGCAAGTATTCCTAATAATCCTAAATGTTTTTGGAGTTTTATTAAAAATAGGAAAGGTGGTCACTCATCGCTTCCCTCTTGCATGAAAATGGACAATGTTACAGCCCAGTCATCACCTGATATTGCTAATCTTTTTTCATATCAATTTTCATCTGTATATACTTGTGATGAATCACTTGTTGGCAGTTCCACTCCAGACGACATTGGCAATGTTGACGGCCTAATGTCCCTTAGCTTTAGAGAGGATGAAATATCTAAGAAAATAAAAGGTCTTGATACTAACAAAGGAGCTGGGCCAGACTCGATTCCTCCTATCTTTGTAAAACGATGTAGATTTGTGTTATCTTTGCCCCTAACTATTATTTATAATAGATCTCTTAAAGATGGTGTTTTTCCTGAAGTATGGAAAAGGTCTCGTGTTGTACCTGTGTATAAAAAGGGAGATATCACCGACGTAAAAAAATTACCGTCCTGTTTGTATTTTATCTTGTTTTTCCAAGCTCTTTGAGTCTGTCCTGTATCCCGTAATCTCCAAATGTTTAGACGGCTGTATCATTGATGAGCAACATGGTTTCAGAAAAGGCCGTTCAATTCAAACAAACCTCATGTCTTTTGTTACTGAAACATGTCAGGAATTAGATCGTGGGCGCCAGATTGATGCCATATATACTGACTTTAGCAATGCCTTTGACAAAGTCAGTCACGCGTTACTGATTCAGAAGCTTCGTGGTTATGGAATGGGAGAGAATTTGCTAAACTGGTTTAGGTCCTATCTTCGTAACAGGCCTCAGTCAGTAGTTGTTGGAGGCGCTGAGTCTACTCCCTATATTGCGCGATCTGGTGTACCGCAAGGATCTCATTTGGGACCGTTGCTATTCTTACTATTTGTAAACGACGTTAAGAATCATATAAAGCACTGTAAATCGTCTCTCTTCGCTGATGATTTAAAAATTTATAAAGTTATTAACACTGTCTGTGATGCTGCTCTAGTGCAAAGTGACCTTAATGGTATACAACATTGGTGCTTTTTAAATGGTATGATCCTCAATATAAATAAGTGCTTTCATATTAAATACACAAGAAAAAAAAAACCACTTGTTACTGTGTATAAGCTTGACGGCGCGCCATTGAAGGAGGTTCAGGAGATTCGTGACTTGGGTGTTATTATTGACAAAAAATTAACGTTTACATCGCAGGTCAATAAAGTAGTCACCACATCCGCACGAATGCTTGGATTTCTTAAACGGAATGCGGATTGTTTTGGTTGTACGACTAAAACAATTTTGTACAACGCTCTGGTGCGCAGTCATGTTGAGTTTGGTAGTATTATATGGAATCCACTATATGCGATCCATTCGCAACGCGTTGAAAGCATACAAAGATCTTTTACGCGACACCTAGCTTTCATAAGCAGAGGATTTTCACATAGACAACCGTACCATCAGCGACTTAAAAAATTTAATATGTTATCTCTTAACAATCGGAGAGCTCTAGCCGGTGTTACATTCTTGTATAAATTGCTCAACAACCATTTACAGAACAGTGACCTTTTACAGGAAATCAAATTTGTCGTCCCTTACTCATTCCCTAGGTTTAAAATTAACAATATATTCCAAATTCCATCTGCCAAAACCAACCTAGGAGTTCAGGCACCTCTCGTTCGAATTCTTCGCGATTTCAACAAACTGAACACAGCGTATCCAGAGCTGGATATATTCGGTAGTGGGCTGATCGGTTTTAGAGAAAGCATTGTGGGGTGCCTTTCTAGAACCTAATTTCTTTTTTTTCTGATGATTTTTCTTTTTTTTTCTGCACATAGTTGTTGAAAATTTTATTTTATTTTATGTTTATGTTAAAAAATTGATTTTATTTTAATGTGTGCTTGCATTGTCGTGTGTGTTTTAGTTGTGTTTTTTTTTTTAATTTCTATTTGATTTTTTTACTGAGAAACTTATGCTTGCATTAACTGTCACACATTTTAGATGTGGGATTTTGTGAAATAGTTGGTGGACTTATGACTGTGTGTGATGTTGTGGGCTTTATAACTAAATAAATAAATAAATAAATAAATAAATAATGCTTTTAATCTATAGCTATATTACTTGCCTTGGTTTTTTATCTATCATTAGATTACATTATCATGGGGAAAAAATCGTCGTAAAGTCGTAAAACCTTAATTTCATTTCATACTGTTACGATGACAACGGAAATATATTTAGATACGTGGTTCCATATAAAGCGAGAGGCGGCAATACCTAGCCACACGTATCTTTGTCTATATAAATATCTAAAAAAAGAAAATTATGATTATTCATTTCAATTATTAAATTACAGATGAAACATGCAATGTGCGCGTGAGCTATGCAGAACTAGAAGAGAGAAGCAACGCCATGGGCAGAGCTATAGCCGCATATGCGAGACCAGTTGGCCCCAACAGGGATAATGACTATGTTATAGCTGTCTGCATGCAGCCCACACATAAGTATGTAAAAATTAGACAAAGATGCACTTATTCAATCAGTGAGCAATTCGTTAAACTCAACTCTGACCTAAACTTGCCTAAATATAAACTTCCACTTCTAATTACCTATAAGATGGTAATAAATTCTAAATATTTCTAGCACAATATTAACCCTTCTATCGACGTGGAAGGCTGGAGCTGCCTACGTGCCCATGGAACCAAGTTTTCCTCAAGCGAGGATCAGTCACATCTTGAAGGACGCTCAGCCGTCACTCATAATTTATGACGATACTGGTATGATTACAAAAGCCAAAATATGTAGAATTTTGTTTTGTTATTGTTTAATACTATAAGAGTTTTCTTGTTTTTACGAACTTTTAGTTATAGTAACGTGTATAACCGAAGTCCTACAGGTTTACACTAAAACATAAATAGCTACTTTGGGACACCACTACTCCGCTAATGAAGGAACGACAACGAAATTTTAGTCGTTAGATAGTGTTATTTATAAAACCGTACTTTGTTAGTCCAGTTCCAGCCAGCTATCGCGTAAATCTTTGGGTTTCAGTATCCGCTAATATACAGCCCTGCTTAGGCGAAATCATAATTGATTCACCTTGGAAGGCACAAAAGACTATCTACTTGCGTAAAATTGTTCTATTGTTTACTTTTATAAAATGTTATTGAAAGGAACACAGAAAATTGCCTTAAGCTCCATGGCACAGCACGGGAAGTAATCAATCAATCAATCAATCAAAATACGTTTATTCAATTTAGATGCTTCTTAGAGCATGCTTATGAATGTCAACAACGTTTACAAAATTCACGAAAGAGCAAGACTACGCCATCCGTTCGCAAAACTACCAGGTGGCCTTGTTCTGAGATGAACGGGCAAGAAACTCAGCAAGTTTTGCCCTCCCTTTACATTACAATTATTCAAAGGAAAATGTCATAAACCACAACGTCATTAAAGTTACATAAGTAAAAAAAAAAATACAAATCTGTTCTGTGATTTACCACATTCACCTATAAATATAAAGTATAACATCATTTTCAGCTAATCCATCAATGTTTGCAAATAGTGGAGTACCGTCGATTTCTTTTGAGGAATTGACACTAGACGCCAGTTCATTACCAGCCGACAGGCTAACAGATAGAGAGATGTTGGCGACAGCTACCGTTGACAGCATTGCTATAGTGTTGTATACTTCTGGAAGTACTGGAATACCCAAAGGTAAAGTTTTGTTTTATTTGCCCTAAAGTCCGATTTCTGACTGACAATTTTTTTTTTAGTAGTTTCTTATTAAAGCAAGTTGTTACTGTTTCTACCGAATTGTGAATCCATTTGACGTTTGATTCAGGTTTACAGCATGGTCACGGTAAAAAAAAGTTTTGGTTTTAATCTAAACTCGACTTATTATTTCAGATCTATTTGTTATAATATCTCAAAAGGTAACTCGCGCCTAAATTATTTAATAGTCAAAGTCAAATCAGCTTTTTTTTTCAATTAGGCCCATTAAAAAGGCACTTTTGAAAGTCAAAATTACAGGGTAAAAATATTTAAAAAAATACTCTAGTTGCCCCTTCCAAAAGGTAGTTCCATACGAAGAAGAATGGGCAAAAAACTCCATACTTCCTCTTCTAAAATAGTTTTTACAATATTTTGTATACGACTTGATACTTGTACTGTGTGAATTAGAGATTTTAAGTTTTTCATTTATTTTAAATTAAGGTTGGTGATTCTATAATTTGTTTATTTTATAAGATTTGGCTATGCACTTCTTGCTTTACCCATCATATTTTTTTTAGTTTTTTTCCTTAGTAGGGCTGGAAGAGATCGCTTGCTAGCGATAAGACCGCCCGTTGCATCTTATAATTTTTATGTATTATGTTATTTGTTTTTCCATAACTGGAACGAAGTTTAAATATACATGTTGCTCACATATTTACCAAGTTTTAGTAATAATTAAGCCCAGCTTTAATCAAAAGGCAGGTACCTCTTCCTGCCTTTGTTTTTAACAACAAATACACAAAATAATGACTTATTAGTGTAGCTAGTAGAGCATCATATCCTCTTTAAACTTATGAAATCGTGACCTTTATATGATGGATCTTTACTTTGCGTGAAGGTTATCTTATTAATGTAATTGTATTCCATATAATAAGAGCTAAAAGCTTCCGTATGATTCATTAAAGTAAAAATAAATGTTTTTTTTTACATCCAAAAATATCTTTTTTATACTAAGTGCATTATACACAATGGTTAAAATAATTAAAATTAATAGGTAATAATATGATCTTGAAAGTGTTTACGTCACTTAAAAAATCACACACGCGGAATTCGATATTGCGTAAATTATTAAAATAAAATATAATATATTATTTGTGGTAAAATATATTCTATATTATTTCTATAAATAGAAACATTTTTACTTCTCGTTGTTACATACTTATAGTAATAATTTAATATTGATTTTCTACAATCGAACGATGTTACTAGGCAAGTTACTAATATCAAGTGCAATACTGACCTAGGTTAAGGTAAAGTTAATGATAAAATTATTTATATAAATGTTTAACTCAAAAGAGTGTGGAATGTGGAATTACTAATTCCTCTGACTCTGCGAAAGGACCAATACTAGGTCCAATGCTTTAGTTTAAACAATACGATTTTGTTTGTAATAGTGAAATTTAAAATCAATTATACTGTACCTTATTTGAACTTATCCCATAATTAAGTCATTATCGTTTCAATTATCTCATAAAGTTGAAACGGTAGCTATTATTGGCTTATAAAATATTCTGAATATTTAATGATACATGTTAAAATTTCAGGTGTCCGTCTACCGTATTCCGCGATTTGCAATCGCCTGTGGTGGCAGTTCCGTTCTTTTCCGTATTCCGACACAGAAAGCGTTTGTGTTTGGAAGACTGCACTGACGTTTGTGGACTCAGTTTGCGAGATTTGGGGTCCTCTTTTGCATGGAAGGACTTTGTTGATAGTACCTAAAGAAATCACGCGTGACCCGCAGAAGTTGGTGCGGGCCTTGGATGATAATCGAGTAAGTTTTACACTACCTTTAGTGCGTTACTTTTGCATGAACAGGGAAATCCTGCTGCAACGTAAACATGTAACAGTGATTGATTTGATTTGACCCAACCGTGAGTGGAGTTCTTCACTGATGTAAAACTGATATTGATAAACTAAGATTTGCAGCCTATTTTAAAATGTCCAATCAAACATAAATAGGTTTATAGATACTTAATCGCTTATTTCGTTATTTATATTATGTATGCAAGAGTTCGATAATATCCACCCAAAGTTTTATTTTATGTAAATACACATCTATAATGTAGATAACATCCAATATATACATTATACACGTTACTTATTTTAGATGCAAGCCAATTATAACTTATAAGAACAATGACAACAGTTTATTTTAATCGCTTATATGAGATTACAACAGTTAAACTTAAAATATATCAATATGTGCCTGTGTGCATTCGTCCTCAATATTTAAACTATTTGTCAAGACGGAAAGCGATTAAAAGTTGTGTTCCATTGAAAAATCGTAAGTAATAAACCTCTTTCCATAGCTCGCCGTCCTCGGCTTGAGTACCAATTGTCTGCCCGTCGAGTAACTCCTAAATTTAATGAAAGAAACCGTAGAATTTACAGCATTTGCAAAAATAATTTAGCTAATTCCAACATTTTCAGGTGGAACGCTTGGTTCTAGTACCTACTCTACTTCAATCGATTCTCATGTACCTCTCCTTGAGCTCAGAACATTCATTAAAACATTTGAAACTGTGGGTGTGTTCTGGGGAGACGTTAAGCAAGGATTTAGCAGCCAGGTTTTTCCAGCATTTTGGAGATGGTTATAGGCTCGCTAATTTCTATGGAAGTACTGAGGTTATGGGAGATGTGACCTACTTTGTCATTGAAAGTAGTGCTCAGTTGGAGATGTTTCCTACTATACCGATCGGTAAGATTTGGGTTATTGAAAAGCCCCTTTCATATTAAAATAAATAAAAAATAAATGAGTGGCGTTACAACGTCCTTAGGTCTGGGCCTCAGATTTCTGAATCTGTTTGATGATCATTTTTTTCAATCTAATGGCCAAGTAAGTGATCAGCCTCCTGTGCTTGACACACGCCGTCTTTTTGGGTCTAAGACATGTCGGTTTCCTCACGCTGTTTTCCTTCACCGCTCGAGCGAATGTTAAATGCCGGCAACGCACTTGCGAACCCTCTGGCATTGAGAGTGTCCATGGGCGGTGGTATTACTTATCATCAGGTGAGCCTCCTGCCCAGTTCTATATAAAAAAAACAGAAAGATAATCCATTGGTGCACAGCCGGGGATCGAACCTACGATCTCAGGGATGAGAGTCGCACGCTGAAGCCACTAGGCCAACACCGTTTCTTATTAGTCTTAAAAAATCTAAAAAACTTCCTTATTTGGAAATATCAAGTGGACCAACACGTTAATAATCTAAATAAAGAACTAGTTCTATAAACTATTTTAATTAAAATAAAACATTTATTTAATTACTATATGTGGCAGCTCGAAGATGTGCAGGATTGGTATCTTACTACATCATATCTGAATTCTAAGTAACTTATGTTATAGTGGCCCACAGTCTTCATTACGCCGTGTAAGTGTCACCGTTAAATTGTAAATACCGTTAGTAGGTTGTAATCTATCTCGCGAGATTGTGAACTGTCGAAAGATTGTGAATCTCAACGTACTGCTTACAATTTAACGTATTAGTATTCGGTAGATTGTAATATATCGAAGTGAAACAGAACGCACCTCGCGCGGATTTTCAGTCTAGAGTATTTTACCAACCATTCAAATTATTCTCAGATTTAAGAGAAAAGGATACTTTTTTGTCACAATACATACAATATAATTGACCACCAGGTGCACCTCTTGACAACAGCGCCGTATACCTTTTGGACGAGGAAATGAACCCGTCCCGTGAATCAGAGCCTGGTGAGGTCTGGGTGGCTGGACAGAACTTGGCCAAGGGATACGTGGGTGGACAGGCACCTGAAAAGTTCTGTGATAACCCTCATGCTGCTCATCCAGGTATGTAAGGGAAAATGGGAAAGATATTACAAATATAAACGCCTAAAAAAATTTATCGACGTATTATATAGCAATATTTCTTATTTCTAGTGATTGGTCTGGTATAAACTGTTAGTTAAATTATAATAACTAAAATAATATACATTAAAAGAAAAAAAAAACTAACCTTAACATAAACTAAAATATATTATTAAAGTCCCTTTAGGCAAGGTTCCGAAGATACTGGCAGCGTTCCCCCTTTGAATCGCTAGACTAATTCTTTGTCCGAGGTAGCTGCCAGATCTTCGGTCTCCTGTGATGTCGACAAGATCATAATTAATTAATTTATCTCGTATATAATTATAATTATATTATGAATATCATATTAGGCTGTTTGGAAGTGCCGACTCTTAGGCTATGTTCAGTTGGCAAAAACTTGACGCGCGTTTTCAAATCGCGCGACTAGACATTGTGGTATTTTCATACAACTGTTCACATGACGCGTCAACGCGCGTTAACGCGCGTCAACGCGGCGCTCAGAGAAAAAGTCTCTAGACGCAGTGATCGCGCGTTGACGCGCGCTTTGATATTAATGTAATGTCCGTTTGCTGTTCAGATGAGCGCGCGCTTTCATCGCGATCGCATGTAATTTTGTTAATTTTCGTAATTATATTTTGTTCTCGCATTTAAAATGAGTGAAATTGAAGATATTGACATCGACTTACTAATCGATGAAGTAGAAAAAAAGGCCAGCAAGTTGGAATATAGCAAATTTGTATAAAAAATATAATATAATTTGTATTTTTTTTTTCAAAATTGGATGAACCCAATGTGTACGTTTTCTTTTTCTATATTTTTCTTTATAATATAACCACAAAATAATAGCCTCTTCCACGTCCATTTTCTACGTTCTACCGAACTAGACTGACGAGTACTCTCGCAACGCGCGTTAGCGCTCATCATCTGAACGCTCTTCAAATTTGATCGCGCGTTGACGCGCGTTAACGCGCGTTACATGTGAACATAGCCTTAATCATTCTCCTCGGTCATCTAGATCAGTACGGACGTCAGAGCTATGCATAATATACACATAAAATCGAATTCTTATACCTCTTCCTTCGTTTTATTTAAAATTGCTTACATATCACTTCATTGAAAGTTGCAATGAATTTAAACTTATTAAAATAAAGCTGTTTCAAAAAGTCCTATGATAATAATCCCTTTTTCAACTAGTGCTATAATCAAACCCATTACAATATAACACGCCTAATTAAACAACTTAAAGAACAATTATATATATATATTATATATATATATATATATGTAACGCGTTTGAATTGAATGGCGTTATATATTTATAACGCCATTCAACGTTTGTGATTTAAACAAGACACCTAAGTACATATTTGATTCTTATTACTTCTCCGTAGTCAAATTATGTAGTCTTAATATTTTTTTCCATTCATTCAGACTTCAGTCGCCTTTATCGTACCGGCGACTTCGGTATCCTCTACAAGGGAATGATACTGTTTGCTGGTAGAACAGACTCGCAAGTGAAGATCAGGGGCCATCGCGTGGACTTACAGGAAGTCGAAAGAGCTGTCACGGGCGTACAAGGTGTCGATAAAGGTAAAATCACTGCTAATAATGAAAATTATTAAAAGTACTTGAATGCCTTTACCATGAGACGAATATTAATGACAAATACATGATTCATTTGAATTGAAACTTATATTTATTGATCCAACTTCATAAAGCGCTTATTAGCTAGTAAGCTAGTGTGAAAGGCCTGCCTTGCGATTCTGTAACTCACTTTTCGAACTCACACAGCAGTTTTTACAGCGGCGGTTTCGAAAAGTGAGTTACAGAATCGCAAGGCAAATGTTTTATCTTCTATTCTAGTTTATTCTACTTGTGTTTTCCTGGTACTGAGACATTTTAGTAGTCATAATTTTTATTGAAAGATTTTTAAAATTCAAATTATTTCTTATCAATTCTTTCATATTCAAATACTTATATATTGCACCAGACCTAGGGTAGCTTATATTATTTAATGATATTTCAGGTATTGTTTTATGCTACGGTCTGGATCGGGGAAACCCAGAGATCCTGGCATTTGTTACCATCAACCCGAATGCAAGATTAAATGGAAACCACATCGAGAATGCTTTAAAGGATGCACTTACCAATTATATGTTACCACAGGTAAGCTTTAACACTTCGACTAGAAAACTTGAAGAGGAAGCAAAGACGAGAAATTGTACGTATTTTTACAATTAAACCAAAAAACTAGTAATCACTGGGGTTGACCTCAAATTTCTGTATCTTTTTCGTGTTTTTCATAGCCAAGTAGGTGGGTAGCCTTTTGGGGCAAAGACATGCCGGTTTCCTCACGATGTTTTCCATCACCTACGGTGACGCGGAGCGAGTGAGTGCGCACATAGAAAGGAAAGGTTTACAGGCGCTGGACTAGGTGCTAGCAAACAGCTCAAGATCAGGGTTGAGATTCGTATGATAAAGCCACTAGGCCAACACTGCTCGTTCTCTATTTGTGCAATATTATTGATAAGAATTTCTTTGTTCTAGGTGTTCGTTATTGACAGCGTACCATTGCTAGTAAATGGTAAAGTCGACCGACAAGCACTGCTTAAGATGTATGAAAACACTAATAATAATGGTAAGAAAATAGTTTAGAGAAGCACTTTTTAATGATAAAAAAAATATGTTTTAAAAAATGTCACTTCTGGTAAGAATTCACATTAAATAAAAAACAATCAGTGGCGCTACAACAACCTCTTTAGGTCTTGGCCTCAGATTTCTGAATCTGTTTCATGATCATTTTTAAATATAATAGGCAAGTAGGTGATCAGCCTCTAGTGCCTGACACACGCCGTCGACTTTTGGGTCTAAGACATGTCGGTTTCCTCACGATGTTTTCCTTCACCGTTCGAGCAAATGTTAAATGCGCACACAGATAGAAAGTTCATTGGTGCACAGCCGGAGATCGAACCTACGACCTCAGGTATGAGAGTCGCAAGCTGAAGCCACTAGGCTAACACTGCTCTTCATTCATATTAAATATCTTATGATAGATGTGGTAAAGCTACCTACACAAAAGTTAGAAATAAAGGAACACGCAAATTTTCACACAAAATTGCCTCTTGATTCCATCCATGTAAAAATGCCATATTAAGCTTCATGTGATATTATTTCAGATGACACAGTTATAAACCTGGACATAGACTATTCAGGAGTTCGTCCTGAAGAAAGAACTAAAGCTCAGATCCTATTTGAGACAGTGGGAGAGGTTTTAGGTCGTGCTACGAGAGGTGCTATATCACTTAGAGCTGGCTTTTACGAGCTGGGAGGGAATTCTCTTAACTCCATCTATACTATTACTAGGCTGAGGGATAGAGGATATTTTATTGGTAAGTTTTTTGTATAAACATCAGTGTTCAAAGTTCCTCAAAGTTGTGTAGGTGAAGACATAATATGTAGGTGATCAGCATCCATGCCTACCAAACTGAAGTAATAATTTGCTGAGGAATTGAGCCCAGTACTCAGTGCCCACTTATTTTCCTATAAAAATTAGAAGTGAAACAAATGATGAATGATTTTCGGTAGATAGCTTTATTTTCATAAGAATAATATAAACTACTATATATCCTACACCATACAACAATGCTAGAACTAAAAGTACCTTACCTTCTATATGTACCTACGGCTCGCTTATCTGCTGTTTTTAATGGTCCAGTGAATAGGCTATCTGGCTCTTACAACTTAATTACTGACATTGATGAAAATATTGATATATTTTACAACAATCTTCCAACTAACGGTAACTTTGTTTATCTTGCTCTTGATGAGATTTAAGTTTATATTTAGTTTTAGTTATTGTTTATATATTTTTTGTTTTGTGGTTGGTTGTTTAATTTTTTCTCTTGCTAGCTTACTTATATTGTAACATAATTGATGTGAATGTGATGTCACATTTTGTTGTATATGCGTACACGTTGTTCTGGAACTGATAGATTAATAAACAATTGCATTTCAACATCTGCTCCTCATTTAACAACTTGAATTATTTATATAGAAATTAGTGATTTCATCGGAGCATCGAACCTGGGCGAAGTATTGCAGCACTTAACAACAAACCCAGATAGTGGTAGAGATGAAAACCCAAAGTTTACTGTAGTACCAATGAGTGATTCTTACCGAGAGGATGTTATAGAGTAAGTATTTGCTTTTTGAATAAAATTTTCAAAATTAGTTGACTTGAGCAATGTTAATTTCATTGAGACTTTTTTTAATACACGATATGACTTGGCCTGCTTTTACCAAAATAGAAGTTGCAATTATATTTTTATTCTTGCGTTTATAGACGTTAAAGGTTAATAGGTTGGAAAAAAATTGTATGAAAACGCATTGTTAATGTCAGCTACTAGCTTTTTATTATATAACTTTTAATTTATTTGTACAATTACGTTTCCGACTTCGATGTTGTGTTTTTGTACCGCGCAATCCTAAGGTACAATGCCACGGATATTGAGAGAACTCTATCGAAACCAGTTTGTATTAGAATAAATAGCATATTGTTCCGAAGAAATTTATAATTCCCAGCTCATACTTAATGGTTATATCCTCAGTGTACAATGTGTGTCTAAATATTTAGGGTGATCTTCATACAAGTATTTTTTCTTAGGATGATAGTATCGTCGTTTTATAAGAAAGCCGAGTTGGAGCAGTTCTTACTTCATGAAATAAACACAAGGGATTATGCACACTGTGTGTCGGCGTGTTGGGAACCATTACTGGAGGCTGGACTCAGCGTTGTATTGGAAGATTGTAAGTATTAGTCAAAAGGAATTTCAAAAATGTTACATTCCTAACAAAAACCTACTGTAAAATTTTTGGAAACAGCCCTGCGATTCTGTAACTCACTTTTCGAACACTCACTTTTTGAAAAGGTGGGAGCTTGTAGTTTAATGTTTATCAGAATGCCAAATCATAAAATGACTGCTTCACGACTGATTTGTGAGCGACCGCCGATGCGAAAACCGCTGTGTGAGTTCGAAAAGTGAGTTACAGAATCGCAGGGCAGAAGTCAAATAATTGGATTATTTATGATAATAACGTTTGTTATTTTAAATATTTCTTAACACTATTGCACATCAAAGAACAACTAAACAAATAGAATAGGGAAGTGCAAGCGGCCTTATCGGTAATAAGCGATCGAACCCAGTAATGAATTCTAAGGATTATGAAATTTATTAGCTACTTCAACATTCCATACCTTATTTTGCTATACAAGAAGAACAAAACAATACCTTTATGCCACATGAAAAAAAAATTGTCAGTTAAATAATAACTTAGCAAGTTTTTAATAGGCTTACCCTAAAGGTACTATACGTATTATAAGATTTTAGTCTTCTTGTAAATTCATGTGATTAAAAAGGAACTATTATTTTTATTTTTTTAAATTTGCAATATTTTTTAAAGCTTCCGGCAGTCCAGTAGCAGTGGCATTAAACTTTGATGCTAGAGCTGAACCAGACATAGAACTCGTTGGAGGTCTGGCGAAGATCATGACATTCTTGGAGTATGTGGAAAGTTCAGTCAGAGATACAATGTTACCGGAGGGCAAGGGTAAGAGTTCTTATTCATTCATGAAATTTGTAAAAAAGAATGCAACTTAAGTAATTTAATACTTTTTCATGGATCTTATCACGATATCTTCGTTCTGAATAGTCGCAAGATTTATGGTTTTAGAAGCCTTTTGCTTAATTTTCTTGTTCTCTTTTAGGTGCTATCCTTCATTCCTTCATGATGGCCACAGCATCGAGTCTTTCAGGCGCAGACAACGTAGCAGCAATTCAAGCTTTAGAAGTAGCCACAATGAAAATCGCAAGGGAAAGACGGTTTCTTGGGATTTTCACTACGAACACAAGTCCTCTGACACAGGTAATTTTTATTGTCATAACTTAATATTAACCGCCCCCGCGAACTTCGTTTTGTCTTGCTATGGAACATTGCTGGCAACATATGGAACATTTTGCGATGTTACCCCATAAGTAATGTTGCGAGGTTACCGCATAATTTTGAACGCAAAAGGGGGGTCGCCCCTTTTAAATTACAGAAAAAGTAATCTGGTTTTTAGATTTTTCCGTGTAATTTTTCACTCAATAAAAACTTTCTTCAGTGTTCAAGGAATAAATCTAAAAAAATACTCATTTGTTTTTTACGTAATTATGTTAGAATAAGATTTTAAGCAATCTAACATCTTTGTTTAATGAATTTGTATCAATACAACTAACTGTAGATATTGTGTATCGTGACACTATCGTGTTTAGTTTGAACTGATTTTTATAGCTAACACTATTCACAATTTGGTTACATAATGCATATAAAAACATTTTGAGACTTTAGTTGAGCTGTGTCGGGTGTGCTTTTTCAATGGACTTTAGAGCGCGATACACTCGTACGATGAAAGAAAACATCGTAAGGAAAACAACATGCCCTAGACCCAAAAAGTCGACGGCGTGTGGCTGATCACCTACTTGCTTATTACAAAGATAATGATGACGAAACCATATAGATTTCGATCTGAGAACAAGGCCAAGGGTATTAAAGCCACTGGGTTTTTTTGTTGTTGTTTAGCTAGTCAATCCACAATTGTTATGTCACTTATAAATTGTTTAATATTTTGTTACAGCAACTTGGAACAGATGTTCTAGGCTTCCAAACGCTTTTGGACTATCAAATTAACCAGTATGTGGATTCAAATGGAGACAGAATATTCGGCGAAGCCCCTGATGATATGAGAGCTATTGTTTGCTGGAAGCCAGTAGATTAAGTTTTTCCCAGTTCTTATAATAGTACAATTTTAAATTATGAAAGGGAATAAAGTAGTTCTTTAATGTGAAACCAGCATTAATAAGAATAGTATTTCAGTATACAGTAGAACCTCGATAACTTAAACCTCGGTAACATAAAAACCTCTGTTACTTCAAAAAATACTATGTTGTCTTCCCATCAGAGCCCAAAACCTCTATAACTTAAAATACGCAACCTCTATAACTTAAATAAATAATCTCTGTATAGGCCCTCAGTAACTAAAAGAAATGTTTCCACAACCTCTATAACATAAAATTGTTTGTGAATGAGTCATTTTGAAAGAGTGTCAAAATAAATGGTTTCGGTATTTATTGCTTGCACGTGTTTACTAATGTATTGTTAACATAAACAATACATTACCTATTGTTTGCTTTATCTAAATTATTCAAAGCTTTGCGGCGGTTAGCTTTGTGACAACGACTTACTTGCATCATAAGTTTTTGATCGTTGTCCTGGAAGTAATGTGAATAAATATGATTACATATTTAATTTTCAGTATTTTATTGAACCCATCCTTCTGATGCATTCGAGTAAAAATGGGAGCAACGGTACATAGAAACATATACATACCTCTATATTAACCTTTACCTAACATAGAACCTTGATAACTTAAAACCTCTATAACTTAAAATATTTTGTGTTTCCCTTGGACTTTAGCTTATCGAGGTTCTACTGTATTACAATTTGTAAAGTTTGATTTCTATCGGTTTTAATGAATCTGTTAAGGCAATTCGATTTCACATAAGCGAAATTATAAAAATGATATTTCTATTAATTTTAAAATTTTAGAATGTATCTTTAAAATTAATTTATACTTTACTCATGGTAGATATTTCTGTAATTTATTAACCGTACAAATTATTATGTAGGTATTAACATTAGTTTTTTAGCTACAAATGTGTATTCCGTAAAAATTTGTAAGATTATATAGATATAGTTGATATAATTTTGAAATTAAAAAACTTGGAAATTAGTTAATATTGTACATCCAAGCGATCTACAACACTATTGGCTTTGCCTCACATTCCTTCATCAAATTACTATAAATATAAAACAAAATCAATCAAAAATATTATAAACAAAAGTAAAAAATATATTTCATTAGCAGTAGACAAAGAGTATCCATAGATTTCTGGTTACTTACCAGAATCATTGTCATATTTTATCTTTATCAATAAATTCTTTCAGCACCGAATTATTAGATTAGTATTCTATTGAACAAAATAGGAGTAAGTTAGGACTAAATTAGCTTTTTATTTATTTAAATGTAAATAATATTATTTAGATATGTATTATGTACGTAAGATCTCCAATCTATTGTAATATATTATTTTTGGATATGAAATGTTTTTTTTTATTTATGTGTTAAAGAAATCATTTATTTGATAATAAATAATATAAGAACGTCTTTTTTTGTTTTTATCTTTTTATTAAAAAGTTATGAATATGAAATAATAAAATGGGCACATTTTCAAAGGTATATTAAAAACCGACTATGGTGGTGTGATTGAAAATAAAACTAAACACTTTTTCTGAAGTTTTATTCGACTAGAATTTAAAACATTGACTAGTTATTGACTAGGTATATGACTCAGTTATAAACAGATTTACTATTCTAAGTTCTAAGTCACACAGTTCGCGTTCTGTACTCTGAATCTAACCTTAATATACAAGAGTGCATAACAGTATTTTGTAAAAATCGCGAAATAGAATGAGACAAATATGTAGAGGCTAATTTTAATGTCAAAATTTCCTAAGTAACGGTTAGTAAATTATTGAAACTCGTACGTTTCGCAGAAATTCTTACGTCGATCCTTAAATATAAGTTTTTGAATGAATTATATTTTGTATAGTGGTCGAGACACCGTTTAGTTCCCACGGAGGGTAGGCATAAAAAAATTGTTCTGTTCTATTTGATTATCGATTCAACCACTTTACAATAACATGACTACATAAAAAAATTTCGTTCTTTGTCCTAAAGTTTATTTTATGATTTTTCTGTTAATTATGCAATAAAAAGGAAAGAAAAATACACTTTTTGGTAAAAAGTTTGCGGTTGATACTTATAGTAATAATAATTATTTTTGTTATTGTTAAATAAATTTTAATACATTCAAAAATAGCGCCCAACCAGAGTGGGGTTTTTACGTTCCCAGAGTGCCGCTAGATGGCACTCGAGTAATAAACAACAAACAGGTGTAATTACAGATATTAATTGGAATGGTTTCATCTGTAATTAAAAATTAAAACCAAATTTTGTGAATATCTGTCTCCTAAATACAAAAAGCAAACTTTAATGTTACACGTTTATTTTCACCTATGTACGACACAAAATATTGAACTTTTAAGCTTTAAAGTTACAGTCAAACATTGTGTTGACCCGTGTCAACACGTCCTAGTAAATCTGTTACCTTTATTATATGTATATGTATGTGTAATGTGTATGTATTTCTACTTAATATAGCAAAGATTTAAATGCCGAAGAAATGCAATGCCTTCGGTATATTCATTCGAAGCATTAACAAAACCAAGTCTTGACAGCTTCTCCATTGTCATCTTGTCAAATGGGGCCCACGCCGGCAATACCATACCTGGCCAAATCCTCATTAACCGGTTTAACCGTAAAACCGATTTCAGGTTTTACAAACTCCGGTTTTATTGGGACGTAGTCGTCAGCGCCGTCGTTGAAATCGACAATTGGGTTCTTCAATAAATTATCAAGTTCTGTGATGTTTGCTTCGTTTAGAAGTTTAAGGGATTCTTCTAGCGCGAGATGGCGATGTTCTGGGGTGTGCAATGGTGTGTGAGATTTGCGATGGTGGAGGGAGTTGGTGGCCGAGGCGAGGTAGGGCGGCGGCTGTGGTCGATTGTAATTTCCAGCTAAGTTCGTCGTTGACTTTGGACTGTATGGGCGAGGTAAGCTGTTGTTTGGGCTGAAAAATAAAACGACACAACACAAACCATTAGAATGATTAAAATAAAGGAGACATCTAGAAGGTAGTAAGCTAAACTATATGTATGTTAGGCAACTTAATAATAATGCACAGAAAAATTGTTTTTATAGAACGAGGCAAATTGTTTTTATAGAACGAGACAAATTGTTTTTATAGAACGAGACAAATTGTTTTTATAGAACGAGACAAATTGTTTTTATAGAACGAGACAAATTGTTTTTATAGAACGAGGCAAATGGGCAGGAGTTCTGATGTTAAGTTATAGGTTATCATCTATGCCAATGGACAATCTCAATGCGAGAAGGCTCGCCAGTTGCCTATTAAAAATTGGTACGCTTTTTTTCTTCATGGACGAAGTCGAATTTTTTCGAAAATATTACACTATATATAATAGGCTTCCAAATATTGTTAAATCAAATATGAAAAAACTACCTTGTTCCTAAGCTTTTGGTGCTTATATCATCGGCTATTTGGCTTTGCTCAGTGTTGCCAGTTCCATATCTGCAAAGCTCGACTTTTGCTGATTTATTAGCTCTGAAATAAAATTGACCTTTTATGTTATCCTGCACGTATATATTTTTATGTAAAATTCAATAAGCATTAGATTGCTACGTAAAATATAACATACAGTTAAATGTACAAATGGCTAGTTAGCAAAATATTCTTGGCATATAAAGACATGTTGCTATATCAGTGTACCTATTTAGGATTCTTAGGTCGGGTGCCTATAAAAGTGAGACTGTGTCTACGGATTCCAAACAAGGATCTGAGGCGCAAGTCTTGTGACTTAGGTAGACCTATTTTTTTATACAGATACCGACAAACTTATTGAGCATTAAACAAGGGATTGGGGGAAAGTTTGCGCATCGTATCGCAACGTGGGACACAAACGTAAACTGATTTACCAATCACGCGAACGACACGTCACTCTCCCGCCGCCGCGCACCACCGACCGCCGTCCCCCCCCTCCCAGTGATACCTAAAAATCGCTTCTGCGCAGGCATGGACAGTTGTTCAAGATGTTTGCCGGTATCCGTACTATGGCTGAGTTCACAGGAGCTGCTTGTTTTATTATTAGTTACAGATGTAGGTACATTTTTTATCAATGAACTGTATATTTAATTGTAGCATCCAGGAAGGTATTATTCGGTAGTTTTATCGTATTAATAATAGTTAATTATTATGTATATTGTAACTGAGGCCTACAATATAGCAAGTCCAAAGCACAACATACAATTTTAATACAGTTCGCGTAGTATTTGTTATTATTATAATGAAACATTTTCTACGATTTTAAAAATAAATTAATTAATAACACTATTATTCAATTAATAGCTACTTTTAGATCTAGAAGCGAATACCGATTATACTTAATTAATAAGGTAAGAAAATATTAGTGGGTTACAAAAAACAAAAATTGTTCCGAACCTCCTCTTTCTATAATCTATACAGATATGAAAAATGTCGTTCAAAAAGCGTTCTGATTCTGGATCTCTCCTGAAGGAAACATAACAAGAGTAAAAATACTAAAAGTGTAAGTCCCACTTAATATTCCCGTACGAAGTCGCATTGGTAAAGAACGCACCAATTATCTAAGGCCGGCAACTCACTGGCGAGCCTTCTGGCAGTTTGGAAGTCCATGGGCGGCTGTTACTTATGCTATCAAGTAAACTTTCTGCACCATATTCTATAAAAAAGTCCCAAGATATATTTTTGTATGTTTAACTGTGTTCTGTTCTTCCAAACAGATTTTAACCCAGTTTAAGCGGCGTTACCAATTTAGCTCTTAAATAGTAATAAATTGCGAAGAATTTTGATGATTCTAACAATTGGATTCTTGGCCCAATTTGGTTTTGGATGGACAAACTTTTTTTCTTCTTTTTTTTAGACATAGGTCATGTGTTCAAGCGACTATAAATGTTATTATGAGGTCTCTACTTGAGACAGTAAGCTGGAATATGGAACGTTTTCCATATCTGGTTTTCTATTCTTCTATGTACTTAACCATAATAATAAATTCAGCACAGCAACAAAACTACCTTTTTTAAATTGGAATGAAGGTAGGATGTATTTAAAGCATGGATATCATAAGTATTTTTATGTACTATCTATGAATAATTCAACACAAGTATTTTATAAGAATTTCGTCTTTTAATGTAACTTTTGGGATATAGGCCCGTATTCTAGAACGTTAATCAAACTTAAATCTAGTTTCCGAATGAAGTTTGACGTGTTTGACAGCGCTCAAGGCGAGACTGTTACTTGAGATACCAATTAGATTATTAACCATAGAAATTCTTACTATGATTAGATGTTCGCTTAAAAAGTACTATACTTACATAGAAGCATAATGGAAGCAGAGAACAGCACTCAATGCGGCAACAGAGAGCAGCATCAGCACTAATGGAACAGCTATAGTCACGGACACTTGGTGAATGTAACTTCTACTGGGCAGATCGTATCTGCTCGGAGCTGACCAAGAGTTGGTTTTTAGAGGAAGTTTTGAATCCACTTTTGTATTTGGTATTTCCGTTAAGTATTCCAAACGAAGTGTGCTGCGGTCGTTGTATACTGTGTTGTACTGAAAGAAAATTATTTTTAAAAAATTGCTAAAATTTCGATTCGTGAAGAAAGTTGGGTTAAAATGTGTTTTGTTGTAATACCTTAAAAATTACTTAAAATAATAAAGGGAAGATCTGGAGTGTATGTGAGAAATTTCCACAGAGCACAACCCACATCACAAAATCGTTTCACAACTGAACAAGTTTTTCAGACAATTTTTAAGGCGTTAAACGTCAAGGTATTTACGAACCAATATATGTAGCAGTAACCGAATGGACTGGTCGAAAAGGAAAAAGGAACATAGGAAGAGCAATAGAACGATGGGCCGACGGGATCGAGAGGGTAGCTGGCAGAAATTGGATGACGATGGCACAAAATAAATTAGGGTGGTAGTTAAAGGAGGCCTTCTCCCGGACAGGGGCCGCATGGTAGTTAAAATTATATTTATATCTCTAAAATGTATGTCAATAAGATGTGGATGAATAGCTTATGAAAATAAAAATATATATTTATATATATAAAAGAACGGCAACGCACTCGCGAGCCCACTTGCTTTAAGCACTCATGGGCTGCGGTATCACTTAACATCACAACCCCTACCCGTTTACCCCATGTTCTATAAAAAATCTCTCAAAAAGGTTTACTAAGAAATTAAATTTTAAATACATCTCAGTTATCATACTATTTCAAGTGTTTAAGGATTTTCATAATCAAATACCAGTTCAAAGCTGCACCAGTCAAGCGTCAGTCCAGCGTCTCTAAACAGCCTTTCGACTGTAGTACGTTTGAATTCACGAGGACAGCTCGGGAGACGAGACAGCGGTCTCACTTCTTCTCGCAGTCTTTGTAATTCACTTGAGAAGGGTGTTATGCTGCCTAAGCGGACAACAAGGCTGTAAATTTGATAATAATGTTTACTTTTTAAAAACAATTAATGTACTGGCCACTATGAAAAAAAATAATCTGGTTAGGATTTTATAATGTCAACACATTCAATCTTCGAAAAATAAAATTAATTAAAGTACTGCCTTGTGATTCTGTAACTCACTTTTCGAACTCTCACAGGGGTTTTCGCAGCGACGGTCGCGCTCAAAGCATTCGTGAAGCAGTCATTTTCGGTCGAAAAGTGAGTTACAGAATCGCAAGACTGACCGCTATGAAAAATGTAACCTATAAGTGGTTTAAGAATTTATGTCATTCTATTTGAAAAATAATTGACTTTTACTATCATGTAAGTTGTATGTATTTGTAAAACCGGTGTTAGAGATAAAAGAGGAACCGATAAAGATGGACTTGGTTGTACATTGCAGCCTACGTAGACGAAGCTGCACCCTTCACAAAGTGAGACGCACCCACGAGAATGTAAGTGCGTGCTCCTATTTCACCATATCTCCTGCTGATAGAGGGCAAATCTTTGTTTTTAATTTATTTTATTATTATTTATTACTTAAGATGTCATGTGGAACATGGTGTAATGGTTGCAGCTCCTTACAAACGTTGTGTAAAACAAAAAACATGGCGATTAAAAAGAGTGGCGGAGAGTTTATTGCCAGTTCTTCTCTTCCATTCTACGCCCTTGATTTGAGAACTGGCAGTAAATGTAAAATTAGAAGCATTTAATGTATATTTGTTTTTTGACGTTCATAAGTGCCATTGTGTTACCTACATGAATAAATGATTTTTGACTTTGACTTTGGCAATATTAAATATCTACACGTCATAATATCAACTAGAAATAAAATAAAAACCTCTCGTACCCTTCTCCATCACTAGGTTTCAATGGATGTCTGGCACCTAAGTCAATAGCGGATGCTAAAAATGTAGCGTAGAGGTCGCCACTGCTTTCCGTCCATAACTTTGTTCGCAATATGTCTTTGAGGCGGGTCATTCTAAAATATTTAAAAATATTATCTATGAAATTGGTTAAGTCACGTAAACCACTTTTCCCGATTACATGAATCACAGTAAATTTTATAATATTAGTGTTTGATTATAATCTTATAATATGTCACCAACACATAGAACTTTAGCTAGAACACAATGTTATTTTTAATTAAACTTGCTTATTGGTATAATTGGTATAAAATACTCTCCCTAAATTTGGGTAGACGACACCCTAAATGTAATTCTTATATTTTTTTAATTTTAAACCACTCTCGCAAACCATGCGTTCTCGCTTCCATTAGTATTTACCTACAATTCATATGGAAACAATATCATGACAATTAAAGGAGAAAAAAAAACATAATAAAATAGTAGGTGTATGTTTAGTTAAGTAAAGTAATCGATATCGTTATTAATTTTGCTTAACTGTCAAACTAACTTTAAATGCCGGGAACTCACTTGCGAGGCTTCTGGCAATGTAATTGTCCATGGGAGGCGGTATCACTATGATAGCCTGTTAAAGAAAACCGTCTGTCCCATCACTTTTGAACGGCTCTATAGTGCCTTGTGGTCGATTCACCTATAGACAATAGAATAGCAGAAGAAAGATTCGACTACTATCTACTGGAATATAGATACCTGTGCTCATCCAGTAAATCCTCCACATTTAGATTATCAATTTTAAGCTCCACTTCATGCTTCGCCATATTCAATTTTGGTTGAACGCGGAGGGTCAGTAAAACTCTTCGTGTTTCATAGTCTTGACGATTTAAACCAATTACCTCTAACTAAAAAACAAAGGATATATATATAATAGCACTATTAAAATTTAAAGCTTAAAGAAGATTATACATTATAGACAAGCTGCCCTCGCGAATTTTTTACTTAGCCTACCTCGTTAGTAACTACATACCAACATATAGAACATTTTGCTATGCTACACCATAGAGACTGTTCACTATCCCGGTACATAAACCTAAATACTAAATAAAACTAAAAAAACACAAATCTCCTCAATTTTTCTCTTTATGAAACTTTTCCCAGAGTTCAAGGACTAAATAATGAAAAATTACTCGATTTGGTACAGCCGCCTTCGAGTTTTGAGCTTAGCAACATATTTTGCAATTCATGTTTATTTATGTACACTATACCGGCAAACGTTGTTTTGCCATGTAAATTATTTCTAGGAAACATTTTTTTAGTTCAATAAAAATAACTATCTGCAATAATAAAAAATAGAGGTTGATCGTAGACGGGTGAAAATTAGTGGTTGAATGTATTTTTGTATACTGTATCGTAAAAAAATAAAAAAGTCTTGTCTAAAATTAAAATTTAGGGGTGGGACCACCCTTAACATTTAGGGGGATGAAAAATAGATGATGTCCGATTCTTAGACTTACTGAATATGCATAAAAAATTTCATAAGAATCGGTCGAGCCGTTTCGGAGGAGTATTAAGTTCTTAGGCAGTTAGTTAAGCGAGATAGTACGAGTACGAAATTACCGTAATAGGCGATTCAGTGCCTCTCGGTGGAGTTCCAAAAATGAACCCTGAGTGATGTCTTCCACTGTAGATGTACCGCAACCATGACGGAAGTTCAGGTTTGCCTATTAGAGATGCGTGGAAGCGGTATTGCTGATCGAACTCTAAAAAAACGTTTTGAGTACATTCGTTTTAGAAATTTGACTTTGTATATAACGTAAAGAATATCGCTGTTTTATTAAGAGAGTAGGAAAGATACAGGATACATAAAACACATATGTATGTTTTTACAAAACATATATGTATGTTTTAGTCGGCCTAGCCAAAACAGTACAAGTTAACTCGTGGATGTTACATTCTGCGCCAGTAACTAACAATAGCGATAAGAACCTGAACTTATATTAGTTGAAGTTTGCGACATCATTACGGATATCGAAAAAACTAAATCGAAATTGAGTACTGAATATTGACGTTGTTGCTATCTGTTTTGTCGACCGTTCAATTTTTTTGAAGACCGTTGTGCCTTTTGTGACTTTAAGGGCTCAGTTAAAACGAGAAAAGAACTGATTGTTAGTATCAAACTATTAAAAAACGTACAATAATTAAAGAAATGTGCTAGGCAACTGAAACAGAAATAGGAGGGGCATGTGTGCAAGTTGGAAAATCGGAATCGAATGCATCCCACGAAATCACACACGCAAACATCGTCAAAGAGGAATAGGAGAAATACATTCGCACAGAGATGTGGCGCAGGACGGAAGAGGTGGGCAAGAGATAGGATGAAATGGCATGGATGGGATGGCTACTGAAGATTAGTTTTAAATGTAGCATAAGATCATTTTGTATATACCTATAGTAATTCCGTAGATAGAAAAGCTTTGTTATTTATTTTATTCTAAATGTACCACTTGGCGAACAGTCGTTAATGCGGAATGTCACATAATGTCTTAAATAAAAATAATAACAGTTTTCAATAATTCCGCGCACTTAACCCTCAGTCTACACTCTACAGATATGTTCATGTTCACAGACATAATATTATGGGGGTTCGACAATAAACATAAAGAATTAAAACCATACCAATATACTCACACAACAATGAGTATAAACTACGATTACTTCGTTATACCGGCAAAGGTAGGTATTTTTATTAGAAAACTTACCTTGGTATGTCCAATTAAATAGGTTAGGACTTATTGGTATCGCGAACATTTCGGTTTCGACTGCATTATATTCGTGCGCATATGCACAGCTGAATAAAAGCAAACACAGCAGTCCGTACATTTTCTATAAGAAAATAAAGTAGATATTCGTTAGTAGGTATAATAGCAATATACTTATTGCTTATTTTGCCTTGAACTAAATTTAAATGTAATATTTTTTATTAAAGTATTCCTAAATTTCCTAGGTACTCATAGACAAGTTTATTGATAAATAAATTCGGCTTGAGTTGAATTATTATTAAGTACCTAAATAAATAATATCTATTTATTTAATGTACATGCTTATAGAATATATATTGATTTTTTTTATTTTAATCAAGTAGAACATAGATATTAAAGAGAATGTTCCATTTCGACCCAGACCGCAATACCGAACCGCTGTTCTACGAGCTCGAAGTCGCGTCGAATATTTGCTAGATATTTAAGACTGTTCTTGATTCAAATAAAACTTAGAAATAAAATATCATAACTCTCTAATAAACAATGACATAAATTTTTATTTTCCACGTGGTCTGATTAGAAAAAAATTTTTTTTTGTAGGATTATTATTTACTAGCCTAACTACATAAACAGTTTTAAAAAAATACGACGAAAAGATACGTGTAGAATCTAAATATACGATTGTCTGGTTTATATCTAGATGCTTTATTTCACAGGAAAAGCAATGCATACAGCAAAAGTATACGTGTAATTTAAGAAATCCAATTATTTACTCACAATTTATTCCATTTATTTACGTTATTGACCGATTAAAATAGCAAGTACGACCCCGAAATAGGGCGTGACGTACAAGCACAGACTAAGTTAAGATACAAATATTACAGATGTATAACTAAAAGAGTCGAAGAGTCATAGGTTGAAAACTATTTAACAGCGTGTTGCTTAATAACATGAGTTATTATTATGAAGATGTTTTCAGAATAGGACCATGAAAAAAGGTGCATTGAAAATATTAATAGGTTCTTGAAAAAAAATTCAAATATATTTTATATAGTGTTTCAATTCCGTTCTTCTATTTAGCATACGAAATCTGTTTCAATTGAGAAACTATTTAATAAAAAAGGAACGAAAGAAACGACATTTGAAAATTCAATTTCAATAAATTGTCAAACGTTCAAATATGTATTGTGACAGAGTTAGTAGGCGTTTGCGGTTTGACGTAATATCAGTAGTCTGTTGTCAAAATAATTATTGAAAGGGCGAGGGCTGAAGAAGCAGGCTGAGCGAATTTTAAATTTTACGAAATAATTGTTCATGTTGGTTTAATAGTTCAATGTTTTTGCAAAACAACATGAAATTAAACATTGTTTTTTCGTGGACTAGTGAGTGATTAAATTTAGTGTCAAGGTTCAACACTAGTAAAATTGTTGTGATTGATTTTCGCAATGTTGAAGTTTAAAAAAATGGGCTCTGATAAAGTCCCTCTGCTGTTAGTAACTGCAAATGTCGGTTCAATATTTGAAGACGTAAGTTTCGTTTGTTTTACACACATTCACTTTGATCCTGCCACCTAGAATAATCGTTAACTTAAACGACTGCTTTAAGTCGTTGCGCATGTTTAAACTGATCTAATTATAACATTCGTTCGATTAAGGTCCTATTTACACCCACTTTTACGAAGGTAACATTTTTTAAATATATACACATGAGTGACTTGAAGCTACAAATTTACATTCAATATAATTTACAAAACATTTGATTTAATTATCTGGTTGTAGTGTGTCTGTTCTAATTCAAAATAATAGAACTCTTATTTAACTGCATGTTAGAATATATTGATAACCAATTACTAAGTATAATATAAGGATATACCATTTAAATTTTTTTACCCAAAATAAGTGTTTTTTTTTTTTTAAATTAATCTTAAAAAAAACAAAAGGGGGGGAATTGGGGGTATTTGGGGGGTTTTTTTTTTTTTTTTTTTTAATTATATAAAAATTTAGGGGGGGGCTTTTTGGGGTTTTTTTTTTTTTATTTTTCATTTGTATATTAATTTTATATTAATACTAATCAATTACTTGAGACAATATTTCTTAATAAATCCATACTTTTAATTAATCATTGTGATTTTATTGTGTTGTAATCTGTGACGTCATGCCTTTACCTTCTAGTGAGTTGTATACATTGTCAGCCAATCTTTATAATTAAATAACACTATCCAAAATGTAAATAATGGAAATCAAATAAACTGTAAGTTAAATTATCTAATAGAAAACTCACAAATAAAAAAATTATTTAAGTATGTAAAAGCTTCATTTTTGTTTACATGCACAGAACTTTTGTAAATTTCATAAATATTCCTATTATAAAATAAATGTATGTTCTCGTCATAAACAATATAATTAAGGTAAAAACTATTAAGTCTGTCAAGGTTAAGTATATATTTTTTAAACTGAAACTGTAAAAATTAACTTTACCTGACTTGAAGCAAGGAGTAATATTAAATCACATTATTAGTTCCAAATAGATTTAGAAGGTTCATGAGAAATAATATATTATTGAAGTATTTACATCTCTAACAGATCCTTTAATATTTTGTAATCTTGCAATTTATGTTAAATTCTGTAAAGACTAACGTTAATAGACTTGCAATGCAATTTCAATTTCATATTTTTGTTCATTATTGTCTGTAAATCTATTGCCTGAATTCATATAAAATTGTTCAGCGGGTAAATGACTATATGCTGGAATCTCACAATTGTGCACTTTAGTAGTGTTCTTTTCGTATATCATGCATCTTTATAATTACACATATTTCATGTTAAAACCTTAAGAAACAACTGTTATATAGTATTTACATACTTATTAATAAATTCCACAACCCCAATAATTTAAGGTCATTATTACAAGTATCTTGTTTTAAAATTTACTTCAGTTACTCCTTCACCTTTATAATAGCGTGGATTATCAAACACTTGCAAATGTCAGTTGAGCATGCAATGTGTGGAGAGATGGATAATAGACCCAAGGTCTATTAATTGCACCAAATAATTTCAAAACTAAACAGCAATCAAATTAACTATCTATTTTATGTAATATATATAACTGATATATATAAAATATAATAAAAATTAACCTAGAATTAGGTTACTCAGTATTAAAAAGTGTTGAGATAATACTAATATAGCAGACAATAAAGTCTTACATTCCTAAGTTGAATCACTTGTAAATCTATATTTTATGTAGATATTCTGTCATCACTGAACAATGATCGCAATTACAATAGATATCCCGGAAAGACCACATTTTCAAGAAAATTATAATTTCAATACACAGTACCTAAATATACATAGTTCATAGTAAACATTATAATACCGTATTACGTACGTACACAGACATTGCTATATGACGCGTATTTTCGTCATTGCGTCCTTGTCTAACTAATTCTTGTTTATATTATAAATAGAATTTAGGTATGTAGTAGGAAAATATAATATAATAATAATTTTAGACGACTCATTGGTCTCGTGGTTAGTACCCCTGACTGCAAATCCATGGGTCCCGGGTTCGATCCCCGGCTGAGACGAACATCGATGTGATGAGCATTTGGTGTTGTGCTTAGGTCTTGGGCGTTTAAATATGTATTTATATGTCTATCTATCTATAATATGTATGTATATCCGTTGCCTAGTACCCATAACACAAGCTTCACCAGCTTAGCATGGGACTAGGTCAACTGGTGTGAATTGTCTTTAAAAAACAAAAAAAAATCTTTTATAAGCTTACAATAATTGACAATAAAGCATTTTCTATGCGAATTTATAAAATTTTTTAGCTTTATTTTGGTGGAATTTTATTTTAATTGTACAGTAAAAGCTCCCTATTCGCGCTTCCTTTATTCGCGTTTTCACTATTCGCGGATCAAAAAAATGCAACCCAATTTCTTTATTCGCGGAAAAAATTTCTTTATTCGCGGATCTAAAATTTCATACAAAATTCCAATAGGTGTTTAACGCAATATCATGTAGATATTATGGAGTGTAATCCTGATATGAATGTTATGGAATGCTGGTAGAAATTTGACGTAGCAAAATGCATCGTAAACATAAAAGAATCATTGGACGAACTGACACCACACACATTGAAGTCATGCTGGAAAAAACTATGGCCTGCTCTGACTGCGGAAAATGAAGAAGAATCCGTGCAAGTTCAAACTTTGAGTTTGGTTTAAGAAGGCAAATGAGCTTTGCGATTTCTTTATGAACATGACCACTATGGAACGAAGTCTTAATTTTAAGAGGCAAATTACTAATGCGACTGCTGAGTATCAGTCTGAATTGAAGGAGCTATTAAAAACTGCCAAGCAAGAGAAAATAACAAAATTCTTCAAACAATTGCCTAAGCCTGAGGATAATGATTATATAATCAAAATGTTCAATAACATCAAAAAATTGATATTTGTGTTTTTTATTTTGGCACCTAGGAACGTATCCCCTATAAACCCATATAAATACCATTCTGTATTCACGGTTTCTGTATTCGCGGCATATTTATGGAACGTATACCCCGCGAATAAAGAGATTTTACTGTATACATTCAGGCAGTGTGCGGCTTGCTACCAGATTTTTTTAATATCATTCACCCCAAGTAACTAAATCATTTAAAGTAATATTTGTATACTTGGATTCAAATCATAATATATGATATTTAACCATGGCGCTTTCTGTCAAACCAATTTAGTTACCTTTTCTGACCATTCCAACAGTGCCGCTGCAAAAACTATTTTGATTCTTTCAGCCATCTGTCATGCTACCAATATGGACTTCAGAATTCCTTCAAGCCGTATCAAGAATGGACCCAAAATTCATAGCCTTGCATTTACAAGAAGTTGGTGGGAAGGCGTACGAGAAGTCCATGCAGTATGTAAAAGATTTCGTGCAACGGCTGTGTGACTGTCCTGAGTTAAGGCTCTATGACAAGATCAGGATATTTCTTGATGAAGACTTTAGCTCGCCTGAGAAGTTTACTGTGAGTATTTTAATTATTAAATGGCAATTCAACCTACTGTAGTTATTATAATAATAGCAATTAACTATTATTACACACTAGTTAACATATTTAATTAACTAAATAAAATCGAGAAATACATATTGTTGAAAATAGGTTTACGGTATAATGCAGCGACGCAACCGACCCCTATCGCTCCCTATAATTGATAACATAATATAAAGCATTCTATTTCATCAGATAAATATTTTTACTAGAACAAGTCCGCAACTAGAATATATATAAAAATAAAGATAAAACAACATCAGTCCACGAGGCCTGTACTAAATCAAGTGTACTTTAGTAATAGAAACAATTAAGTAATAACAAATAGTGATAAAGCGGTTTTGTGACCTTGTAATTCCCGGCGAAACATATTTGTTTCGGGTTAGTAAAAGGCTACTCTACTTTTAAAGAAACATCAATCGCTAAAATATATTTAGTAGTAGTAGATAGTGTCCGTTAGTTGTGCTCATTATAAATAGTTATGAAATGTTCAAATGAGAACTGCTTATGTGACTTGGATTCAAATCTGAAATAAATATTCCACAAATATCTTCCACGATCTCATAGAAATTCTCAGTCAATGACAAAGCGATGACGTCTTAAATGTTATAACTTGGGCCTATCGGAAGACCCTTATATGTGTAGTGACGTCAATGGAACCGGTACTTTGCGGTCGCTCTATGGTGGGTGGCATTGGCCTGTCATATAGTTATAGTATATTTTAATATCAAAAATATTATTAGTATTATCGTTATAATTTTATAAAGTCAGACTTGTCGAACTACGAAAATGATTTCGCTATTTTTTATGAGTAAAAGTGTTGTTGGTTAAGTTCATATAATATTTAATTAGGGTTCGAAGGTCTTTGGTATTTTTACACTAAGTACTTACTTGTAAACTTGTAGCGCAAGAACCACAACGCAAAATGACCAAGAAATTTATTTTTATAATGAAATTCTAAATATGCTAGTTAGCTCGCGTTATTAAAGCTATAAATCGAATTGATTGACACGACGTAATATAAATGGTTAATTATAATTACTAGAGGTGCCCTTAAAAGGGAGAAGTTAAGGCTTGTATAAACAAAGTGAAATAAAATTTTATCTTAAACAATTACGTAAGTAATTTACAATTGTCAAAATAGTACTATGGTCTATATATCTATGGTAATACTAAGTCAAAATAGAGTCTGACTAATGAAAGAAGATAATTGAATTATTTGAAAATTTTCGGATGGCAACACATAATGTCATTGAATTTCTTAGGCTAGTACGATTTATTGTCTTGATACTTCCATGCAATTACTCATTTTTATTTCTATTATATATTTTTTCGGAATAGTTAACAGGTATAATAGCCTAAACTTTGTTTTATTGATTTTTTGGATTCTGATTTTGATTATTCCTAATAAAGTTGTGTTTTATAATAAATATAGTTTTAGTTTTCCATGCAATGCTAGTCACTTTAAGTATCAATAGTAAAATACTAAATACGTATAGTATTTTATTTCATAGAAATACAGTTTCTATCAATGTAAAAAATAGTAAAATAAAATCAAATATCAAGTTAGTTTAATCCACAAAATATATCAAACTTTACAAAAGGGATATACTATTTTTTTTAATTTGCCGCGCTTTTTCGTTATCTTCTTTCATTAGCCAGACTCTAGTTGGACTAGGTTGGTCCAGGTGAATAGGGGGAGGTACAGAAAAGTTTTAGCGCGAACTATGACTACCATATCTCAAAATCCAATACATTTTTGTCGTGCGGGAGTCACATTTAATGAGTCTCGTTTCTGAGTCTTATCCTTCTTAAAAAGTCTTTAGGAACGAAGTGTTTTCCACTAAATAATTAGTGTTAATGTTGATTCATAAGTAATTTAAAAACCAACGAAAACAGTTTTATTTTCGTAAATTATATGCAACTACTTATTGCCTGTGTGACGTATCCGTAGAAGTATATTTTATACTGTGTACAAAAAAAGATATGAAAAAGTTCGAATTTAAAAATATATGTAGGACCACAAACTGAATGGTTTCGTATAGCCCTAACTGTTAATTATTTTCCGAGCGTTATAATTGAGTTATACGATCTATAAGGCTTTTTAACACCAAGTTATAAATGCCTTCGACGTGTTATTAAATTAGTTACCATGTTTATTCAGGAATACAGATCTTTGAATGTCAATTGAAAGACAATTTTGAGGCCCGTAATCTATTTAGTTTCACACAAATTACATTTCAAATGCCTAATGCTCATCTGGCCTATACGAAGAGAAGGTTCGCAGAAAGTTATTTGAATCTAATTATTATATGTACTTTTAGCTATAGCTTTTATCATTTATATAATTAAAATCGTTCATCCGTGTGCTGGTACGTAGCAAATACACATAGACGTTATAATAATTCTGATTTTGTATCGTTTGGCTTAAATAGGTAATGTTTGGCTTCCATACATTCAAATAAATGGGGAATCAATCCCAAATGTACCTCTCACAGATGTTATTTATATGTTGGTTAAGGTCAGCACGTTCGATGAAGACACTCCAAAATTTGGTAGAGTAAGTTAAATATTAAGTAATTAGTTAGGAATTGTTTTACGCCCTGAATCTCCGACATGCATATTATTTTTACCCCGTAGACTTTCGGTAATAAAATTGGACATTCAAAATGTTTAAAAATATTTTTCTGTTTACGTTGACTGAGACTGAATCCTTACAGCGGCTATTGGATTATAATAAATCTTGGTGCGTATGTTTTTCTTTGCGAGTCAAGGTGATAATTTAAATAGTGACGTCAATTATTATATCTACATAATATATTTTTATGTGGGGTAATGACGCGTCGGACAAAATTTTATATACATTGTGAAATAACATTGTACACTGTTTATTGTTTGCGGTGTTTCTTGGCGCTGTTAATTTTTTTAATATTGCTTTGCAATTTGTCAGATCGTAAACCGTAAGGTTCGTAAATACGCGTTTATTTTTGGAATTTTAATTCCATTGGGATGTTCATGTTATTGCGAAGTATAATTACGGTCTTTACCACAAACAGCACGTAAAGTCCACATGACGTAATATAATTGTTGACTAGACGTTTGACTAGAAACAAATATCCATTTTACACGCCTGCCTCATGTTTGTTCTCATCGTTTAATGGTCATTTTAGCGGATTGTCGGGTTTCACCGGGTTAATCCTTTCACCGAGTCGTCAACCTTGCATTGTTCATACTTTATTATTGTTTTCTTTTGCTTTGCTATATTCCTACCTAATAGCTGTTTATGTGTTTACATTGTATATTCACGGATGCTTGGCGGACCCATGCGACTTCTACGATACAACAGTCCCCTCGGGAGGTATGTTCTGCGATATTGCAGGTTACTCAATTGTCAGGAAGTAGCATGGATCTGGTTAGCGCTGCACCTTCTTAAGTTCTCATATAATTTTCACACATGTATATCCTTTTTGTATCGTATTTTTATATTTTATTTGATTGTCCCAATTTTAGCGTGTGATGTATGAAAGCATAAATGAAATATAACAAACAAGTTTGAATGAATTTTTGTAATACTTGAGTAGGTGATTCTGTATATGATCAAGTTCCCTCGTGACTTCCTCTTGAACCAGCTCTGCGATTACCTGGAGACGTATAATTGACAAATTCTACGTATTTGGAAGTACACGTCCCACGAACGTAGAGCTTTCCGTAGCTTTAGAGATAAATTATTCGTGTAGTCGTCCTACTGCTATATTTAAAGTTTAAAAATTAAAAACCCGTTTGTATAGGGTGTCTCAGTAAGAGTGCACTTTTTAAAATTGTAATATTTTTGTTTTCCTGCAAGTGACGACTCTGAAATTTGACAGGTGTCACCTCTGTTTATTCCGCTTTTTGAAAGAACAACAAGTTATAATTGTGAAAACTCATTACAAAAGTAACGATGAAAACGCTCGCAAACTTCACCAAAATTTCAGCCGAGAAAGTGCACCTAATGTGTCAACCATTCGAAGAGCGGTCAAAAAATTTTAAAAAACTGGGTTAATTATGGATAATAAGAATCTTTTGCGTCAACGTACCGGTCTGTCTCTTGAAAACATTGCTGCTGACTGCTGTAAACGAGAGTGTCGCCGAATACCCGAAAACATCAATTCGACGCAGCAAATTTTGACTAAAGACCTTCATGCGTACAAGATTCACTTAACTCAGAAGCTCAAACCAGCAGACCAAGGAAAGCACCGGCAATTTTCTCAATGAGTAATGGAGCAAAGGGAAGTCGATGCCAATTTTTCGAAAAAAGTCATTTTCTCCGATGAACAGAACACATTATCTCACGAAATTCTGATGTCAACTGGCCACCAAGATCGTGCGATTTAACGCCGTGCGATTTTTTGTTTGGGGTTTTGTGAAATCTCGAGTTTATGCGAATAAACCCGAAAGCATTCCTGAGCTCAAATCGGAAATCCAACGCGTCATCGGTGAGATACAGCCACATCTCTGTGCAAAAGTCATGGAAAATTTCATGAAAAGTGTAATGGCCTGTCATCGGAGCCGTGGAGGTTATTTGCCGGACATTTTATTCCATACTTAATCGGAACATGTCTTCTTTACAATGCAATAAAAATATCAGAACTCTGTCATAAAATACTTGTCTTTATTTAAAAATGAAAAAGTGCACTCTTACTGAGACACCCTATATTAACAACTGACAGAAACTCTACGAATACTTGACATAACTATAACATTGTGATGTCTATTTTACTTTAATATATCACTATTACGCTCTTTGTCAAAGTTATCGTTATCTCCACTATAGATATTGTAATAAAAGTAATTTAAAAGATAACACATGTAAAAGCCGCTAATGAAATGAACTTACGTCGGTATTATAGAGAGCCATGGGTAGGTACTGTAGCAAGATTGCCACAGTATTATATTGAATAGTCGTGTTTTGTAGTTGTCTATTACTATGTATAAAA